AAGGAAGTGACGTTCATTTAGAATGTCCTGTCCTTCACGAATGCACACTGACTCAAAGTGGCCCCCCTTCCTTTCTAAGTGCTCCCAAGCCGTCTGTTTAGCGATCTGTGGCGGAATTTTGTTAGGATCAATGTCAACTAGATTGACGTTTAGCTTCTAGAATCTACTTTTTTTTTCCTTTTTTAAAACTGGCATATTTATCTTCAGCCTTCTTACATCTTTCCTATACTCTACAATTCTTCAGAAATTACTGATGAGAGGTTTGCAGTCATATCTGTGCTTGTTTCAGTATGTTATGATATAATTTGTTGGGGCTTAGAGGCTTTTAAAGTAGTCAAGTGTTTGGGGCTCTAATATCCTGTTCTTTCAACCCTTTGAAGTCTGAAACTCATTCTTCTTCACAAAGAAGGTAATAGTAATAACAGCTGACATTTACATAGTACCTAAAGTTTGCAAAGCACTTAACATAACATTATATCATACAACAGATAAAGAGAGACATGCTATGGATATTGTTATCCCCATTTTACAGATAGGGCAGCTAGGTGGCACAGTGGATAGAGTGCTAGGCCTGGAGTTAAAAAGATTCATCTTCCTGAGTTCAAATCCAGCCTCAGATACTTACTAGCTGTATGACCCTGGGCAAGTCACTTAACCATATTTACTTCAGTACCCTCATCTGTAAAATGACCTGGAGAAGGAAATTACAAACCACTCCAGTCTCTTTGCAGAGAAAACCCCAAATGGGAGCATGGAAAGACTGAACAACAACAAATTTTACAGATGAAGAAACCAAAACTTAAATCAATTAAATAACTCACCTATGGTCACACAATTAAGTCAGAATCAGAATTGGAATCCAGGTCTTCCTAAAATGAAGTTCATCAGTTTATCCACTAGTTGCTCTTCCAAGGTAAAACTGATGCTTATTTCTATCACCTTTTATATGATCTTATTTGTCTCAAGCAGCAGGCCTATCACTTCTTCATTTTTCCTAGTCTGAAAGTCCTTTTTATATGCAGTTTATTGCAGCAGTGTAGATGTTGACTGTTTTGTCAGAATTTCATTTTTCAGAGTTTCCTATCCATGCAGAGACATCTTCCCTTTCTAGGTCTCTGGCCATGGGATTACATCTTATCTTTTCTTTCAAAGAGAACTGAACAGCTCTTAACTAAGTCTCTTCAATTTTGCTATTTTTTTACAACCTGGTTTTCTGCTGACAAAACCAATTTCTTATAAGATGTCAGGCCCTTCCCCCTCTGATTGTTTTAATATGTAACTTGAATAGTTTTAAGACACAATTACACAGTGGTTTCTTCACATAGCTTCACATTTCAAAAGTCTGTTTTCAACATTTATGACTCTAGTTCTGTCATTTAGGAGGAACTAGTCTGGACAAAAGAGACTACAGGAGGAGACATCTTTTTTTTAAAGGATATTCTTCCTAAAAACTATTTAGTATTGCGAACATTAACCTAAAATATTTCCACACTTCCTTTCCACTGTCAAAAAATATCCTCAAGTAATTTTCTTTAAACAGGGCCTTTAAGAAACTACTCTATTAACAGTAATCAATAGCTGCTGACAAATGGGAGATCACAGAAATGAGAAAATGAGAAAAGACTTGAACTTGAACCCTAAAGGCTTGAACATGCAATCAGGTTTAATATTCAGCATCGTACTTCCCAGAAATCAAAAAATCAAGATAAGTCTGCCCTAGCAATCTGATTTCACCTTTACTAGACAGAATTTAAAATGATGTCTTTTATTCTAATTTCAGAGCATGACTAATCACTTTGAGATAAATCAAGAAAACATAAAAGTTTTTTGTGTTTTTTTGGTGGGGAGGGAGAATAAATATCAGAAACTTACAATGCAACAAAACAAATCTATATGCATGTATTTTGAGTCACACTAGACACTTTGTGGCTTTCTACACAAACATGCTTGCTTACTGAAACAGATTAACTTCCAGGCTTCAAGGAAGCTGAAATTTCATTCATTCTTTTACCTCTATATCTACTTGGGTTGAAGGGAATAGAGTTCAGCTACCACCAGGACTTACCATTCTGTCTATCAATCTCTATTGGACTAATTGGACTAACAGGTAATTTTCACCACATTTTAGGCCTTCTACCAGCTACCACTTGTGGTCCTTTTGGATCCAATGTGTTATTCCTACCAGTCATCTATTGTCCCCCCATTCTCAATATTTTGTGATCTGACATCCTTTAAACTGCATGCATTTTTTTCCATTTTGAAGGTAGTTCCGAGAAAAATCAAATGAGATCACGTGTGAAAAACTTAAAAGCATTATATGTAAATATTAGCTATCACCATCATCATCATCATCATCATCACTGACAAGAAGAGTAACTGACACTAACAATTCAAACTGACGACTCTTTAAAAAAATCTGGAGAAAAAGAAAAATGGTAATCTATTATTGAAGGTAATATCCTCTATCTTCACCAAGGATTCATCTAGTGCTATGAAGGTGGAGGGGAGGAAGTAGCTGGAATAGGCATTCTGGCCAGCAGGTGGTGCTTTAAGTTTGAACTCCTACTTAATCAATTTCCAACTTTTTAAGCTCAGACACCTCCAGGCACCTCCAGCCTTCTCCTCTTCAAATCCCTACTACAGCCTTCCTGGGTTTCTGCCTAATGTCTAGCTGGAAGGGTATTCCCATAATTCATAACTCACTTGTCTCGTTGCCCCAATACCATGTGGTAAACTTGATTTCTTCAGCATAGTCAAAAAGACTTCACTCAGTCACAATTTAAATTAAAATCCATGAGCTGCAGTGAAATTTAAAATTTTAAAGTATAGAGCATGAGTAGCCCCAGAAAAACTCTCCCACTCCGCTCCTCCTGGATCTTACAGAGAAGGAGGCAATTATCACATCCAGTGATATTGTTCTTTACAATGTTGTTGTCACTGTACAAATCGTTCTCCTGGTTCTGATTATTTCATTCTGCATTAGTTGATAACAATGATTTCTTTAAGATCATCTCCATCACTCTTACTGCAAAACCATATTCCATTGTATTCATATACTTTATTTTGTTAAAGTATCCCTCAACTGGTGGGTATTCTCTTAGTTTCTAGTTCTTTGCCTCAAAAAGAACTCCTATAAATATTTTTGTAGTACATGGGAATTTTTTCACTTTTTTTTTTATCTTTTTGGGATGTAGCCCTAATAGTAGCATTGTTGGTTCAAAACATATAGTATGTATAATTTAGTAACTTTTATAGGCAAAGTTCCAAGTTGTTTCTCAAAATGACTAGATGCATTCACACTCCCCCAAAGATGCATTAATGAGTCTCCATTCTCACAGCTTCTCCAGCATTGTCATTCTCTATTTTTGTCAATTTTGCCAATATGATAAATGTGAGGTGGAACTTTGGAGTTGCTTTAATTTGCACTTCTTTAATAGTGGGCAGCTAAGTGGTGCAGTGGATAGAACACTGGGCTTTGGATCAGGAAGACACATATTCATGAGTTCAAACCTGTTCTCAGATACTTACCAGCTGTGTGACCCTGGGCAAGTCATTTAAACCTGTTCACCTCAGTTCCTCATCTGTAAAAATCAGCTGGAGAAGGAAACAGCAAACCACTCCAGTATCTTTGCCAAGAAAACTCCAAATGGGTTCACAAAGAGTTGGACATGACTGAAACGACTGAACAACAATTAATAATGATTTGGTGTCTTTAGCTTGTGTATTTTCCTTAGAAAACTGCCTATTTGTAACCTTTGACCACTATGACCATGTCAACTATACACTTAGAGAATATGCCTAGAAGGATGCTGACCATTGAAAGGCTAGGAGATTTACTGGTAGTTGCTATGAGAGCAGTAAGTTGGGGAAGGAAGGAAGCTGAACATTGTGGAGACAATCTTTTCTCTTTGTCACGTTGCTTATCAGGAGATGGTTGAAAGAGCTTCTCTATCAATGTCACAGTATATGATAATTGCCTCCTTCTCTGTAAGAACCAAAAGGAAGGGAGTAGGGGAGTTTTGCTGGGGCTAAAATTTTAAATTTCACTGCAGCACATGGATTTTAGTTTAAATGGTAATTCAGTCAGTACTTTTTGACTACCTAAAGCAAGAAGGGGCAAAGTTGATGATGCTTGGTAGGTCTGGGCAACTGTCAAAAGTACAGAGGAAGTAGGAGCTGAGCAGAAGTTTTCTTTCCAGTTCCTAGTCAATTCTTCTCATTATTGTTTCATTCTCTTATCTGGAGTGTTGTGAATCCCCAGAACATTCCTATTCACATCTAAGTGTCTGATGAAATTTAGAGTATCTGAACCATAGTTCTCCTCCAGTGGTTCAGATAATTGGGAGGTGACTAGAACTGAAAATGATGAACAGGGACAAATGTCTTGCCAGGTTCACTACTCAAGAATCTAACAAGTTAGGGTCTTAGAACTCAAAGGCCCAGCTCTGGAAAAACAGCCCCATTGTATTGATGTTGCAATTTTACCATATCAAACCAATGAAACTTTCAGGAAAAGTCATCTGCAAAGAGTCCATGGTTCTGGCAACAGTGGAATGCACTGAATCCTGAGATTCAGAGAGCCAAGAACTGAAGGTCATTATTGGTGACAGCTTTGACCAAAAATATCTTAGAGAAAATTAAACCACATGCATATACCACCACTGTCACTTTTTAAAGGCTGCATGAGCACAAAGAAATGATAAAAGCCAATCACTTGGCAGTACTTTCTCTTAAAAATGACAGCCAGAGCTTTGTTATGTTCTGTTACTGCGAATCTCAAAAAGAAATGTACTCCCGGAAGTTTGAGATGACAGGAACATAAGCAACCGTATAAAGGCAAATGACGCCACATCTGTGAAATCTCCTATTAGAGTATTCAGTCATTAGCTTTGCATCTCCTGCCTGTATCACAATTTGAAATGAGCTCCGTGACTAATCAAAACCTTGGAGACTTTTCTGGCTGTCATAATGTATAGCTTCTCTGGCAGAATTCTATTAGTGTAGCAGTTCTAGACTTAGAAATCCACTGTCAGGGCCAGCTGCTGAGGTCGAGCTATTATTCATCCCCAGGTGAGATTCAATTTGCACATTAGGAACCTTTTTTTCATACCAAATAGAATTTTATTTTAGGCTCTTAGCTTCTATGTGTCTAAGTTAGCTACCTAAAATTCACTTCAATTTAGTTTGAAAAAAATTCTTCATAAAGCCCCACTTCTTAGAAATTATGCCAGGAGCAGCAAACTCTGGAAGGTTCTCAGCAACAGACTGAAGAGAAGTTTAACTAGGCGATGGTAGACCAGCCATCTGATAATGAAGTCTTTGGCTCTTGTGGCTAGCCATAAAACAAAAGAAAAATACGAAATGCCCCTAAGTCCCATGACCCCCCATCATCCTCTTTTGTTTCTTCAGTGATGGTAGTAGGTTATTGGAAAAGGGGAAGCAGTGCTAGTTAACATTTTTAAAAATCTAATTTTAAAATCTAATCTAATTTTGAAAATTAATTTGAAATATAATCTAATTTTTAACACTAACATTTTAAAAAATCCTGTTTCTCCCCTAAATACCAATGGGATGATATATATGTTCCTAGTACAACAGAATAGTTCCTGCCAAAAAACGTCCAATGTTGAAAAGAACAATGGATAGGTTGGGGAAATAAAAAAGAAAAAAAAAAGACCACTGACTATATAGAAGATATGTGTGCTCATATGCATATATAACATTTAAACACATAAATGAACATTTATTTGACATTTTAGTTAATAGTTCAGCATTTGTTATGTTTCATCATGGCACACGACAATCACTAACAATTTTGTCTGAAGAAGCAACCAAAAAAAATTGAATCATTTGTAAATTTACCAGAACAAGTGATTGTCAGAATCAAAGAGAGAAATTGTAGATGCTAACTCTCTAGTCTTTTCTGGCTATCAGACTAGAGTATCATTTGTTACTTCTACAATTTATTTTGTTGGTTATTTGTTGTTCAGTCATGTCCAACTCTTCATGACCTATTTGGGGTTTTCTTGGCAGAGATACTGGAGTGGTTTGCCATTTTCTTTTCCAGCTCATTTTATAGATGAGGAAATTGAGACAAACAGGATTAAAGTGACTTGCCCAAGGTAACACAGCTAGTAAGTAACTGAGGCTTGATTTAAACTTGGGAGGATGAGTCTTCTTGACTCCAGGCACTCTATCCACTGAGCCACATAGCCGTCCCACAATTTATACAATGAGTGATCTTTTTGGTGTCCAATCACATAATATCAAATTTTTTAACATACCTTCTCTCAGATGACATACTGGTAGAAAACTTTCTAACCAATATGGCATAGTGGAACAAGCTTTAGACCTGGAGTGATGAAGTCTTGAATTCAGTCCTCAGCTTTGCTACTCATGACTTAGGGAATCTTGAGGAAGTCATTGACCAAACTCTTTAAGTCTCAGTTCCCTCATCTAAAACATGAGAGGGTTGGGTCAGATTAGCTTCAAAGCCCCTTCTAGTTCAAAATCTATGCTTTCACTCTAATCTTACACTAATGTCGATGAATCAGAATCAGGAGTTTTTAGACCCAGCTTGTTGCCTACTGGTCATATAATGGCACGCAAATCATTTTGCTCTGCGGGACATTAGTATACTCATTTGCCACATACAGATTATAATATTTGTTCTGCCCACTTCACGAGGATCTTGTAAAGATTAGAGTCAATGTACTCAAAAGCACTTTTTAAAGTAGAAAGTGCTATGAGAAATAAGCCGTTCTTATTATATGGGGAACAATAGTGCCTTCTACCAGTAATGGATTTTTTAATGTCAGAAAAACTGAGGAAAACAATGAAATTCTCCCCAAATTTTCATTCCTAAGTTCCTGTGGATATGAAGGATCTAGCCATTCAAAGAGGAAAATCTAGACCAGAAATCTTCTTAGAAGCCGCTATACTACAGATTTCAAATTGGCAAAGTGCCTTAGAACCTTCTAGTCCAATTAATAGCTGAATTATACTATAATAATCCCCTCTGGAGTATAACTACGATATCCTCACACTATATCCAAGATATGGCCATGTAGACTTTGTTTGAAGACCTCCGCTGTGGAGCTACCATTACTTCTCAAAGTAACCCATTCCACTTGGGGCTGGTTAGAAAGTGTGTGTGTGTGTCTTTATGTACTTTCTCCTCTCCTTTGCACCCACTTCACCTTGCATCTTCTACTTACTTTTTCTAGTTGTTTGCTCTTGGGGCAAGAGAAACAAATAAAATCTCATTTCTACCCAACAGTCCTTCAACTACTTGAAGCCAGCAATCAATATACCTCACCATCCCCCCCCATTCACAAGTCTTCTCTAGGCTAAATGTTCCCAGTTTCTTCAACCAATTCTTATATAGTATGAACTTGAGGTCCCTCGCCTTTTGAATACGCAACTTTATCAATAACCTTCTGAAAATATGGGGTCCAGAGCTAAACGATATTCCAAATGTGGTCTGACGGGTACAGCATAACTATCATAACTATAGCCATAAAAACAAGCTTAATTATGGGTGTGTATGTTTTGTTTTCAAATTGCTGCCAAAACTATCAACAACAACAACAACAGGGGTGGTGGTGGTTGTGGTGGTGGTGGTGATGATGGTGAAATGACACTGTTTAGGTTCTGGCTCTTTTAGACTCACAAATACTGATGTCTTCCCCTTGTGAAGATCAATCCATTGAAAACTCACTTTTAAAGACTTCATTAACAACAAATAGATTTACCACAGAAATCCATACTAAGTGGCTGTTGTTCTATGAAACTGATAGGTCAATTTGTACCTGACTGCCAAAGACAGACCTACTTAATTGCTACTTGAAGTGTGATTTGGCTTCAATTTTCTCTTTTTCTCAAAAACTGAGATCAGCAAAGCACTAGTTTGCTCTAAAGACAGGATTAATATGTTCCGGGCCATTTCCTCTTCTAGAAACTCACACACATGAAAGAAATTAATTCTGCAACCCATTGTTTCCATTTCATCTGTGGTATGATCTCCTTTGAAGCAGGAAGAAAGGATTTTGTCAGAAAACAACATGGAGTCAAGCTAACTATTCCTCCCAGCTGATGCTCCAACTTGAACATCTATAACTGAGGAAGAGCAAGAGGATAACAGAACTGCCCTATGATCTATTTCAACATTGACTGCCAGAGAAGGAGTCATGCTCGATGGATAGCTTCTATCCTGAAGTACACTATCCTCATGGCCTTAGCACTTTCAGGAAGAGCAAATGTAATTACTGTAAAAACTAGATTTCTGTAAGTATAGAACCTTAAGCAACACTCGGTCACCATTACCTGGAATGAAAGGGAACCATTCATTTGGAAGGACATAAACATGAGCAACTAAAATCAGAGTGTTACACATAGAGACTACTAGACTAGGAATGAGGAAATTTGGGCCCTCCACCCAGACCTGACACTTAATGCCTGTGGGACCTTTGATGAGTCATTTCCTATCCTTGAGCCTCTCTTTCCTCATCTGCAAAATGAGCGGATTGGACAAGACCAATCGTCCCTTCAGACTCTACTATTGTATCCTATTCTACTCACTAATGTTTGAAGCGTTTACTGCTTCTCTTCAATATAAATGTACAAACAAATTCTTATGGACAAGATCTGATGACTTCTAATTAGAAAAGGTATCTCTGCCCTTCTAATAATGCTGGTTTTAAAAAGAGTTTTTGAAAGGACAAAATGATCTTTTCTTAGATTGTTATGTTAGGATTTTTTTCCCCTCACTGCTGGACACTTCCCTGAAGGGCTCTACCATTTTGCCATTTCCCATGAATAGGTTAAGAACAATTTGAGATCTGAAACACATGGTGAACTGATCGGAGATCAAGAAACACACCCAATAAAAGGGGAAATCTGTAGCAAAAGGATTTAAAAAGAGACAGACCTTTCTTTTCATTCTCTCCAGGGGCAAAGAGAACTAATATATCTGCAAGCAAAAGCAGCAGTATCATTAAATCAAAGCCCATTCCCACAGAGTAAGTCACAGGCTGAATCAGAACACTCTTCACTCTGGTCCTGCATGGACTTCCAAAATCCCTTTCATACAGTACCCAAAGAAGTTAATTTTCCTTTTCCCATCCAGGACTACTGCCTTTGGGAAGAATGCAAAGCACACTTTTATGGTTTATAGCTGTCCTCAAATATCTGCCAGAAGAGGCAAAATAATGAATAGTCCTAAGAAATTCATTCTTCCTCAGATTGTTTTTGAAAAAAAATCTGCCATTCCAACATTTAGATCGGAGGCACCATGCTAGGCAAGTGCCTAAGGCAGCATTATCTATACAAATGTGGTAGTGGAAAAAATCAGTGGGCTCAGAGTTAGGAGAAACCTAGGTTTCAATTTCACCTCTCATTCTAGCTGTGTGACCTGAAGGGAGTCATCTTTGTCTCTTTAAGCTTCTTTTTCTTCTTCTGTAAAATGGGCATAATAACAGTACCTACCTTTCTTATAGGGCTGCTATGAGAATCAAATGAGGTAATGTATCTAAAATGCTCTGCAAAACTTCAAGTGACATATCAATATTATCTACTAACCACATTTCTGGATGTGTGCCCTGAAGAATGGACCCAGCAAAAGCTTGCTACAGCCATATTCTGGGAGCAGCCTCTCAAATCACAGAAAATGAAGGAGCTTATATAAAGGACCTTTGACTTGATGCACCAGGTGAAAGGGAACGAAATAACATTTTCTGAGCAGAGGACTGACATGCTGAAAAGAGTTTAGGAAAGATGAATATTGTAACAGCAGACAAGACAGATGAGAAGAAGGACAGCCCAGAGTCAGGAAGGCCAGGCAAGAGGCTGTGGTAGCCATCAGGGAATGAAGTGATGAGTCCCTTGGCCTACAGTAGTGATGGTCAGAATGGAAAAGGGATGATGAAGATGAGATATATTTAAAATAAAAACTCAATGGGACTTCGTGACTGGCTGACTATCATCTTTTGCACTTTGTCTCCCATATATATGTTCTGGAATTCGACAACAATTCAAATCTTATTTATTGAACCACACTGGCATTTCCAGTGAGGAAGGAGCAAGAAAAGCATGTGAGTTCCCCATCCTGTCCTCTCTTCTCACATCCTCCAACTCCAGAGAGTCCAAGTTGCAGGCTGAATAAAAATATCTCAGCCTAATCATCTTTATACTTGATATACAGGAGGGGAGTGTGAGATAAGAAAGAGAGTGGCAATTAGGTGTTTATAAATGTTTTCCCTTCCAATTCTATCAGAGCAGCAGAATAATCAGAAGTAAAGGCTATGGAAAGTAGACGATATTACCATCCAAGAGAGCAAAGCCTCAGGCACATCATGATGCAGTGAGCCTGTCTTTGCATAATGGAAAATTGACCCTATAAACATGGGATCATAAATATGGAAGGGACGTCAGATTCCACCTAGAGGGGCCTCCTCAATTTTCAAACAAGGAAACTGAAGCCCAGAGAGGTTAATCTGCCCAAAGACACATAGGTAGGAAGTGTCAGAGGCAGGATTTGAACCCAAATAGAGCTCTTTCCACTATACCATGCTGTCTTTGTAGAACTGCTATTCACTACCACATCTATTAAAAAATCCTATCTATTTATATTTAAAATCTGCCATGCAAATATTGAAATATGGTGAATATGTAGGTGAGTTGTGAGTACCACTGTATTCATACTTTGATGGTTCTGTAGATTTCTGATTTCATCAACAGAGATGTTTGGTCCAACAACACAGACTGCAGCCCATCCCTGCCTGCCCATCCTGTGCAATTCTTGTTCATAACCTTATTTGTATTTGGCTAGGGGTGGGGGAGGGGAGAAGAGATCACATTAATTTGTCTTGATATTAACAGAAAAAATACAGGTTCCTTGAGGTCTGTGGCTGCTCTTTGTTTAGCATCCAGTGCAGTAGAAGCTGATTAATAAATGCTCAATAGATTGGTCTGGATTGGATTAGAAAGCAATATAATACAGTTCATCTCCTACTGCTCATCATGATACTAGACTTAGAGAACTCTGACATGTGACAACAATATATATCTAAAGGGCCAAATGTGAACCACGAAAGCAATAGGGCAAAAAGTCAAAGCTTAAATTTCCCTTGGGCCCACTGCCTGATTCCAATTATGCCCTGAGTAGATGAACAAACAAATGTTCTAAAAGCATCCTCACTGGGCTTTGTACTGCCCTGGACGCTTTACAGTAATGATTAAAATAAAGCTACTTCTGAATTTTAGCAGGTTGTCTCATTCAAATAATAGGTGGAAAAGGAGGGAAAAGGAGGACAGTGCATTTAAAGGGTATTAAGGGTGGTGATATTTTGCATCACAGTGCAAAGGCAATTTCAGGAATGCAAGAATGATCACTTCACCATCATGGGGGATTTCTGAAATGGGTTTATGTGTAGCGGAATAATGTTACTATGAAGAAGTGTATATTATAGGAATGACCTCTTAGCCACGCAATCATAAAGTTCAACTTGGGGAACTTCATAACTTACCTCAAGGGCTCCATTTAGTTTAGTGAAATGTCAATTAATCAGAACCTTCAGTTAAAAGAAATCTTTCTGTATTGCACAGCCTCTCCTTTTATGGGAAAGGTGAAATAAGAAAACCCACAAAAGGAAGAAGTTTCAGAGGTATGTAAAAGGGTCAGTAACAAATCAGCTCAAACTCATTAGTCCTTGTTCCATCTCTAGGACCAGACAACAAAATATGATGGTCAGAATGATGACCCCATCCCAGCATTACACAATGATGAAATCATCAAATAAAGGTAAAATTACCATCACGACACTGGATTTACCAGGGTAGGAAGTTGGACCTAAATAACATAATTTAGGAAGAAAAAAGATCAACTTGCAAAAATACCTTCAAAAGCAAATAATCCAAAAAAAAATACAGACAAGGGATAAAAGGTTTTGTGAAATTCCTGACATTTATTTACCAAGGTAGGACCAAATGAATTAATAATAAACAACAGGCAAGAAAAGAAAATATTTTTTATCATGCATCCCCAGTGGAAATCAATTGCAAAGTTCTGCCATCTTGGACCTATTTATCTTCCTACTTTTCTTCTCATCTTTCTATCTATCTATCTATGTTTATATACCTATATCTACAGTATATGTACAGAGATATAGAGACACAGATAGCTGTGTAGATAGATTGATAACTATATATTTATAAATATATCTCTCTCTATAAAAACAAATAAATAAATATATTTTATAGATAGACATCTATGTATCTATATCTACCTATAGCTATACATATATAGTATATGTATAAAGATATACAGATAGCTATGTGGATAGATAAACAGATAACTATTTATAGATAGATATTTATATCTATGTAGATGTATTTAGAGATAGATATTTACAGATACATCTATGTGCCTATATCTATACATATACCATATATGTATAGAGATATATAGATAGTTGTATGATTAAATGGATAAGTAACTATGTATTTATAGATATTTCTATATCTAAATGGATATATTTATAGGTATTTCTCTATAAATATATCTAAATCTCTAGATAGTTATGCAGATAGATGGATAGAAAGACATACCCATATCTATCTACCTATGCACATCATTGTAGTAAGTGTATATACAATTCTGGTTTATTGTTCTACTCTGCATCAATTTTTATAGGTCTTTTCATATTTTGTTAGAATCATAGGATCAGAGATTTAACACTGGAAGTGACCTGAATCCATCTATTCCAACGGTTTACATATGAAAAACTGGAGCCCAGCAGGTTATGACTGGCTCCAGGTCACCCAGGTAGTAGTAAGCTTCAGAAGTGAATCTTGAGTCTAGTTCTAACTCTAGCATCATTGCTCTTTCCCACTACATCACAGTGTCTCCCTTTGTATACTTCATATTTATTTTTCAAACAGAACCATAATATTCCATGACATTAGTACATGTAATTTATTTAGCCATTCTCCACATGTTGGACATGAAGTCATTTTTTTTTTGCTATTCTAAATCAAACAGCGATGGACTTATATCATATTACTGAATTTAAGGGGTGTTTTAGGAAGATGTTATTCAAAAGCAAAGACTGAAACAAAAAAAGGCTTGCTGGTTGGATAACTCTATGAGTAAATCAGAAATGCAATGAAGCAGCATGGCCTGTTGCCTTGGCATACTGGTCAACTGAAGCTTATTCCTAGAAACACCTCTCTTTTCCCAAATGGAATCTCAATTGTCTACCCTCAGGGCCCTTTGTCTTGCTGCCTGAATCCAGCCTGGCCAGAGACTGAACAGCTTATCAAGACAGGAGGCATGCCATCTAGATACAGCTACCCAACAAATCTCTTTGCACCACAAACGACACATCTCCCTGCTTTTGCTAAGTCTCATTTTGGAGGTATGGATAGTTTTGTCTGATGACTACCCAAAAGCTTTTCCAGAAATTGGGCTCTGACTTGCTGAATGCAGGATTTTTAATGAGGTCTCAACATAGTATGGCTTAAATGAACATCTCTTTTTTGTTATTAAAACTATCTCTTTCTATGACTACACCCAAGGAATATAATTATTCTCTTTCTTTTGTCTTCTCTCTCTCTCTCTCTCTCTCTCTCTCTCTCTCTCTCTCTCTCTCTCTCTCTCTCTCTCTCTCTCCTCCCTCCCTCCCTCCCTCCCTCCCCACCCTCCCTCCCTCCCTCCCTCCCTCCCACCCTCCCTCCCTCCTCCCTCCCTCCTCCCTCCTCCCTCTCTCTCTCTCTCTCTCTCTCTCTCTCTCTCTCTCTCTCTCTCTCTCTCTCTCTCTCTCTCTCTCCTTTCATACCATTCAGCAATTGGGCAGTCCAGGATGTGGTACAACTATTCCTAAAATCACTTTCCAGGCCAATAAGCTGTATTACTTGTACAAAGTAAAATTTACTTGATTCAATATCCTTAATGGGTTATCATCTAAAATACTTTAACATTTGAGACTCACATTTCCTGAATTTTCATGCTTCTGAGTGAAGAAGAAAAAGCCAGATTCCTTTGATTTCCCATGCCTTTATGTAGTTCCAAGAGGAGACAGGGTTTATTCACTTAACCAAAGCATTGCAACCTCTAACCAAAAGAAACAGGATTTTTCAGGGATTCTTTTTCAACTTGGAAAATAATACAAACCTGACTTATAACAACAGACAGAAAATATTTTTGCTGACCACAACACCTTCTCAATACAACTTTGACAACACCAGGAAAAAAAAGGTTGAAGAAAATAAATCCATAAAAAAATTAATTTTTATGTCAACTCATCTTCTTTAGAATCAATTTACTCTTTCCTAATTTTTTTTTCTTCTGAGTATAGGTAGGCATCAAATAAAAGAAATCCTCAAATGGGAAAGAAAGGGCAAAGACTCAGTATCTTGAAAGCAAAAAATCTAGGAAGAAATTCAAATGTGATCAGGAAAAAAAAAAGACAAACTGCATTAGTGAACAACCCTCTTCTAGGAGATTCTGCCTAAGATGCTGGTAGACACTCTAGAAGCTTCTAGAATTGTTCAGTCCAAAAATTTCCCATTAGTGAAAATATCTTGGTTCTGTTTCTAAGAGACTTTACAACACCTAAGATTTCGTGCAAAGAAAGCACTTCTCATAAATTCATTATTGCAAAGCCTAGGTAGTCTAGCCTCACCTTGATTCAGCAATAGTCAGACATCAAAGGGATTATATTTGTTTAAAAAAAACAATTGGTATTTGCCATGAACCCTCCATCAAAAACTCTGAAATAGCACAATGATATTTGCTGACCTACATGGGTTGGAAAAGAATTAAAAGGCAATTAAAAATGCAAATCGTTTCTTCCTTCCAGGCAGGATATAATTAGCAAGGTCAATTATGCAGTAGCGGGTAGCAACATATCCCCTGGTGGAAGGCTATTCCCAGTAAAAATATAATTCACAAGGTCTGCAATCTGCTGCTTGCTTTGTTATTTGTTAACCTGGAAACGACTCCTGGCTCTATCAGAAATAATACTCAGTGAAACCATCCTTTTCATCATTGTTTGAAAACAACAGTTGGACTATAATAGGCTGATGGTGAAAACCTACTTAAGGAGTATGTAAAAAACACACATGTAACCTTTGACAATCACCTCCAAAACGTTACTGCTTCTTGAAAGGAAAGAGGCATAATTGTACAACCTTAAGAAAGAGGGGAATTCATACCAGACACAATGAAAACGCCTACACTGATTCTCCATAGAGAAAAAATATTATCCTGTGTCGTTACAGCTTACAATTCAGTTAACTAAGCATGGATGGGGAAAGGAGAGCTATGGTTAACTGGATTTTCCAATTAGTGAACCCATTTAAGAGTGAAAATATCTGACCTCCTTTGCCTGTTGGTTCCTTCTAACCCCCATCCCACCCCTGCCACCCTAACCCCTACCCCCTACTCCCCACCCCCTTCCGCCCTCCCACATACACACCTGGGAATGTTCAGCTGCAAACAATTGTAGTGATAGCTCAATTATCCTTTTAGAAATAAAGCCCTTTAACCAACCACAAATTTTCTACCAGGTAACTACACCACCGATCTCAGTGTCAACACACGTTGAAAGAAGACTCATCAAAATGCCCAGGTAATAGAGCAGGCTTTGAAGATTTCATCTCATTCATATTAGCCTGGAGGAAAAAACTCATTCTTTCCTCCCCCCAAAAATTCACATGGATAGAAAGAAGAAAGCTTTAGAGATTCATGAAAAATGAAATCTATTAAACAAATAAGTATGATTAGAATTCCACGTTAGAAGTAGTAACCACAGGGCAACTGTGAGATCAGGGATGCCATCGATGTATACGCAGATGGTAACCATGTGCAATATATGCTTTGTCTTTCAGTGTGGTTCTTGTCCATTCTCCACGTAAGTCCCTGAGCATAGACTGGGGGCTGTACTCTTGATCTTTTGATATTTCATGGATAAGAATAGGGTACATGGCCTGACTATCTTTTGAGAACTATTGATATGGGTTCCTTTACATAAGGATTCTCCCTACATAAACAATCCATCTCTTTTTCTGGTCATACATTAAGGATTATTGTTCAGTCGTTTTAGTCATGTCTGACTCTCCATGACCCCATTTTGGGTTTTCTTGGCAAAGTACTGGAGTGGTTTGCCATTTCCTTCTCCGGCTCATTTTACAGATGAAGAAATAAAGCAAACAGGGTAAAGTGACTCACTTCCCCAGGGTCACACAACTAGTAAGTATCTGAGGCTAGATTTGAACTCAGGGAGATGAGTCTGATTCCAAACCCAGTGCTCTATCCACTCTACTACCTCGCTGCTGCTACACAAAGGATAGGACCTGTGACTTACTCCACTGGTATGAGGAGCCCCCAGGTGAGGGACTTCCTTTTCCAATGCAGGTCAGCACCTTTACTGGCCTGCAACTTACAGCCTTAATAAGTTTTCTAGAGCACAGAGATACTGTGACTTCCCTAGAGCCAGACAACCAGATGCATCATAGGCAGGACTTGATCCCAGGGCTTCCTGACTTCAAGGACAGCTCTCAATCCACTATACCATGTTGTCATACACGAGGCATTTTTTGGCCTTTCTTTATTTCCCAAGAGCTTAGTGCAATGCTTAGGGCCCAGTAACCATTGAGTAAATGCTTGATGATTAATTGATTGATTTATATCAAATGTCCTGCATAGTTCTTTATTAATGATCTAAGCCAACCTGCTAAAGCCCACTATGTGACTATGCATTACCTTATGGGTGATCCACAGCATTAATTTTCTTGAATATATGTTCTAGAATGTACGCATTCTCCTTGAGGGAAGGAATTTTTTGGAGGGAAAGGAGTTCCTTTCTCTATCTCACCAGTGCTTAGCATAGTGCCTAGCATACAACAGGTGCTTAATGAGCGCCTGTTGACTGACTGACCCTGAGATATTCTATGATTCGCAGAATTCCAGGAATTGATGTTAAAATGATAAGCCTTCGTTTCAGGGAGCAACTTGGGGTCTTTAACAGCAATATACAATTTCCTAAAGATAATCCATTCTGTCCTGTTCCTATTAAGCCCTGGAAAAGATTTATAAAGATTTCTATAACTCCTTTCTATTATTAAAAAATGAGCCATCAAATTAAAGCCTCAAATGCAACACTCCCCTGTGTGCTATATGAAGAAGTAAAAATGGAACTGAAGAAAACAGAGGAGAAGAACACAGGACTAGACCACACATCCGGAGAAGACGTAGGTGCCAGAGGAAATGACAGGATTTTGAAGAATGGAGGATACCAAATGTTTGGGGAAAAATCCATCAAATTAAAAAGGCAACCAGGGAAACAGCAATCACATCTGAGTCACATACTTACATTCACAGCTTTACAAAATGTTTTTAATAAATGTTTTCATTAATAAAAATATAACCATCACTTCCTAATGGTGCCCCACCACCCACCAATAGAATCCTCCCTTGTAACAAAGAAGTATAAAGAAAACATGGCAACATTTTGAGTATGTCTGACATTAGCTATCTCATTCCTGTACCTATCCTCGCTCACTCTCTGCCTCTCTGTCTCTCTCTCTCACTAGCTAATGACTTGTCTCTATTATCTTGATCTTTTTTAAAAATTGATCATTTTATTTCTCAGTTATCAGTTTTATTTATCTAGTCTGTTTTTTTTTCAAAATTTCTATTTCAGCATTTGTTGGGAGGGGTATTTCATGTGTCGACTTCCTCTTTTTTCAGATGCCTGATCCATTCTGTGGACCACTTCTTCCTCTCTTTTGTTAATGTGTTTAGAGATGATAAGAAAAAATTTTCTACTCAAGTTTGCTTTGACTATATCACATAGGTTTTGGCATGCAGTCTCAACTATTATTTTTTTTGATAGCATGGTTCTTTTTTAATTTCTTTCTTTGACTAATTCATTTAGAATATATTAGTCTCTGTTGGCAGAGTACATGGGCATAATCAATTTAAAAGACTTAAACTCTGATAATTCTTTCTTCAAAAAGAAATCTGAGAGGGTCACTGGTAATGGCTCTATTAAAGTCATATAAACAGAATACTCATGGTACAAATGTATGGCTGCCAAAAAGGAGTAAAACACACCTCCATTTGAATGTTGGTTCAAAAAAAAATCTAAGAAACACTTGGGATGATTACTAATCAAAGTCTATAATAGAAAAGGTGTCAGAGGCATGGAACAGAATGGCAGCTGTGCCCAGTAAACAGATGGTGACCATGAACACTGTTGAGTTTAATGAGTCCAAACTTACCTTTTAACTGGGGACAGCTCAAGAGAATGATAACCAGATGCCAATCATTGGCCCCACATCTACAATTTTCTCCTCATTCTAACAGCCTGAAGGAATAAAGGACTGCTTTTCAACATGCTTGGGAAGAAAAATCCCTCCCAGGTGGTAAAATACAGAGGGAGGAGAGTACCAAAAGCCACCCCGCTTCCCCGTTAGAGGTAAGATCCTAATTGGAGACCTCATGGAGGACTCTTGACCCAGACTCTGGGCAAGAATCCAGGATAACAAAAATGATAAGAATATGAATACCTTCTTTTGACATATAGTTCTTGGTTCTAGGAAGCTTAGGGAGACCAGAGAGAAAAACAACAACAACAATATTTCTCCTAGGGCAAAGAAGATATAACATGTGTTTCATGAATAATACCAGTAAACATTTCACCCCTTGATGTAATAATTTAGTCCCACAGAGGACTCCAGAGACCAAAGCAAGAAAGGCTTTCTTTCAAGATTTTTCTACATTTTCTACTAATCTTAGCAGACTTTATTTAAAAAACTCCTAATCTCTATGTGATCCACAATAAAAAATCAACACCATACAATACAGATATATGCATATACATATATACATGATAGCTAATAACCAACACACATACATTCTAAAATCAGACACAAAACTTTCCCCAAGAAATAGATAATTGATTTATTCAGATACTAATAATTTCTTCCTCCATTCAAGTCCTACTTAGATGGCTTACTGCGGTGTAAAGGTAATCCAGGGTTATCAAAGGGTACACCAGCAGACTGTAAGCTCTAGAAGGTTCAAGTAAACACATATGTATATGTATATGTGTATATATATATATATATATATATATATATATATATATATATATGTATATGTATGTGTGTGTATGTGTATATATATATCTATATCTCTCTCTCTAAATATATATAGATTATAGATATAGATATAGATATAGATATAGATATAGATATAGATATAGATATAGATATAGATATAGATATATAGATATATATGTAAAATCTCTTTAGAGCCCCTGAACCAACCTGGGAGGTAGGTTCCATTGGTATGGTTATCTCCATCTTACAATGAGAAAATGGAGGTTAAGAGCAGTTGCAATTTGCTCAAGGCCATGCTGTCAGCATCCTCTCCCCTAAAAATGCTGCTTCTTTGATGATCCAGCTAGGTAAGGTCAGAGGGATTTAGCACCAGGGCTTGGACACCAGGTATTCACTGAGGAGGGTAGAGGGGACAGAAACTCATTAAACTTCTACAAAGGCTTACTGAGGCTGCTATAAACCTTGACAGAGGCAGTGCCCACATGGATGGCATCATGCATCCTAGTAGGAATGAAGTAATCACTGTTTTATGTTATTTACATTTCTTTCTAAAATACATGCCCCACATTCCATAAGAATGGGACCTTAATTATAAGATGCACAGCTCTAGATAATAACAATAACAACAGCAATAACAATAATAGTAGCTAACATTTACACAGCACTTCAAGATTTGTAAAACACTTAATATCACATTTGATCCCCACAACAACCCTTGAGGTAGAAGCTATCATTATCCTCATTTAACAGATGAAAAAACAGGCTGAAAGAGATCTGTTTCCCAGGGTCACATGCCTGGTTAAGTGTCGAAAGGGAGAATTTGAACAGAAGTCTTTCTGACTCCAGGTCCACCACTCTATCCACCATGTCACCAGCTGCCTCTCTGTATATCAGAAAAATTCAAGACTGACCTAGACTATCTTTACTCTCAAAGTAAAATGATCAAGGCTGGATTCCTCTAAAGAAATTGTCCTCCCACCCTTCACAATGGCAAGTCCTAGCAAGCTGGCAAGAACTCAAGTATATAACCAGCATACTGTATCTGTTTTCAGAGCAGTAGCTTAGCTAAAAGCAGAAAGGCTTATTACTAGAAAGCTACAGAGCAGCTAACGAAATTCTGTTTAGCCTCAGAAATTCATAAAAACCATAAACTAAGGTGTGGAGAGGTTGAAATTTGCATCAAGTTGGGAGGGGAAGTACCCACTCCAGTGAAATCCCAGATGGTCTGAGGCATTAAAGATACCGGTCTTCAATCTGTGGACTACCCAGAAAATCAGGTAAGAGCTGTCATTCACCATCCTCTCCTTCCCATCATATGTTTCCAGAGGGGGAATACAAATTACTTTCTAGTTGGTACACAAAGTTTATATCCAAATGGCCTATCAACTCCCACTCTTATTCTTCCATGAAATGGCAGCAGATGAAGATCACTATTTCCTATCAACCAATCCACAGATTAGAATCATAGATCAAAACAGTAGCCAACAAAGGTGACACTTATATCTGTAACCCAAGTATTCTCCAGTGATTAACAACATGACATTGCCTACGCTAACAATACCCCTTGAAGCAATGTATGGGAGATATGAATCATCAGCCACACTTCCAGGTGGGGAAACAAAGCTAGCTACATACACCGACAGATGAAGTCACTATAGTGGGTGTTAGAGGGAAAACATGGGTCCCAATTAGCAGGAATAGGTTTTGGCTGCTAAACCATGGGATTTAGTCAAAATCATCTCTGTTTTCATATGCAGACTAATGGCCTGAACCCTAGCAAAGTGACAGAGGATTCTAGACTCTAAAAAGTTCATTTATTGTGGATGTCTGTTAAAGGCAAGATACTCCACACACACACGCACCCACACTGTCCTCCTTCTAAGTGAAGAAATCAACAAGCCTTTATTAAGAACAGGTTCTGAGGAAAACATTGTGATGCTCCCCTCCAGGAGTCAGTAGAAAGAGGCATGGAGGAAAATGCAGATGGTCTGACCTCAGACAAAAAAGAAGGGGGGGGACAGGAAAGGAAAGGAAAGGAAGGGAAGGGAAAGGGAAGGAAGGAAGGGAAGGAAGGGAAGGGAAGGAAGAAGGAAGAAGGAAGGGAAGGAAGGGAAGGGAAGGGAAGGGAAGGGAAGGGAAGGGAAGGGAAGGGAAGGAAGGAAGGGAAGGGAAGGGGAAGGAAGGGAAGGGAAGGGAAGGAAGGGAAGGGAAGGAAGGGAAGGAAGGGAAGGGGAAGGGAAGGGAAGGAAGGGAAGGGAAGGGAAGGGAAGGGAAGGAAGGGAAGGGGAAGGGAAGGGAAGGGAAGGGGAAGGGGGAAGGGAAGGGAAGGGAAGGGGAAGGGGAAGGGGAAGGGGAAGGGAAGGGAAGGGGAAGGGAAGGAAGAGAAAGTGAAAGTGGTGGCTCAGCTGAGAGACAATTCTCATTCATCTTTGACCACATGCCTGAAATGATGAATGTTCTCCTAGGACAAAACAGCCTCTACCCTCCATGGATCTGGGTATCACACAGGGGAATTCCAAGCACTGGGCTTTCTGGGCCACACAGTCTACAACTGGGCCCATACTTTCAAGCCTTTCAAACTTGGTAGTGAGGCATGGAAGGCAGACTTTAAAGAAGGCATCCAGAGTTGATCATTTTATAACATTTTTGGCATAGACTAGTGCTGGCCTTGGGCAGTCTCCTGGATGCTGTTCTGAAATAACAAGCAGGCATTCAGCCCCATGAATGGAGATCAGTTACGACATAGGCATGGAAATGTTGCTGGCATCCTGGGATGCCTGGTATGAGCAGGGTAGGGGCAGAGGTGTAATAAGGCTGAAGTATCAGTCTGCATATGCTTGGACAGACATCACTAATAACATACTCAGAACCATGGAAGCTTCCTTCTTTCTGGTGTTCAATATTAGTAGTTTGTACATATGTATGTATTATGAAGAAACCAGTCTGCTTGCATAGATAAAGGCTAAATATAATGAAATGTCTGTACCAGGGAAGGAAATATGAAAATTCATGAGTTAACCTGTTTATGCTTCAAGCAAAGAAACAAATTGTCTTTCAGGTTACGCCACAATTTAAGGCCACTAGTGATCATCAATTAATAAAAATACTCTTGTATTCCATTAATATGTTTTAATTTTCCAAGTCCTGCATTTCCTCAAGGGTCCAAGCTCAGATGACTTTCATTTGGAAACACGGCTGACCAAGGCATAAAACAAGGCTCAAACTAACATGAAGCCATATAAATGGAAACATAAACTGAAGGAAAATTCAATAAAATTTTCATTATTCTTCCTTGCTATGGACAGTGCCTGACGTATGGGGAATATTCCAATATCTATGAATGTATGCCTGTGTCCCTTTTATTTAGGTATGTATAT